ACACACACACACACACACACACACACACACACACACACACACACACACAGAAAATAAAGATCATCAGTGGATGAGCAGTGCTGGATTCTGGAGATGCAGATACAGTAAAGATGTTTGAGATGTGCACACGCTGATGAGCAATGGGATCAGAATTCCTGACAGGCAGTGAAAATCCTGCCGTGGGTCCGCTCTGCAAACTCAGACCTACGGTGTAACGTCAGTCTGATCCACAGAGCTTCAGCCTTTCGACCTACAGGACCCGACGCTACCCTCCCAACACCAGACGCCGCCGGACACTCCCAAGGTCCTGCATCCAGGATTCTCCGGCTGGCTGGAGCAACGGTGTAAATACAACACGTTTAAAAGGGGAAGTTAGACACGGCTCGACTCCGCAGCAGTGACGCTGCTCTGCTGCAGACCGCGAGCGTTACAGACGACATCAGATCTGCTCTGCTGAACAAACACCGATGATACCGTCGTCCGATTACCCCGGGGCTCATTTTCCTGCAACGTCTTTACACCAATACATCAACAGCCAGCCGATACTAGCCCGACTACAAATGCTCCTTTATGTTTTTATGTAATCTTTTACACAAAGACTTCTTCTTCATGATGGAGGGCACTGAAGACCAACTGAGGGTATTCACCCTGACCTCAGTTAAGACCTAAAGCTCACAAAGAATTCCTCACTTTCAAATGTCAACCACAGTCACGCCAAAACAAGGAATTGTATTTTATGTGGGAGACCGCTAAGCATGTTTCACTGAGCTCTGCATCCTGGGGATACACAACACAGAACCCTGTTTGTGTAATTATGTTATGAAACGGGTAGAGCGAAGAAGTAACAGCAGTTTAATTCTTTTTACTCTGCTGGACACATTTGGTAAATCACATCTTATGAAAACATTTTTTAGTGTCTCTATTAGACACTGAATAAACACAAGAGATCTTCTCTCTTTTATCGATTCATCAGGGAGAAGAAAAATACAAAAAAAAGGTCCAACCATGATGGAAAAATCGAAGTTGGTAGGATTTAAACCCCACGGGATCACCGTGACACAAACACACACCCTGCAGAAGAAACCAAGCACTGACCATCGTTTCTTGTGCGAATCAGAGCCGCTGTGTTCCTCTTTAATACTGCCTCGCCGTATCGCCATGGTAACACATCTATCTCCATAGCAACAATCACAGGCAGAGGAGAATGCTAATTGGCTCCTCTTATAGCCGTATACTTTAAAGGTCACGCTGCGCGGACCGCACGCAGGGAAGCGATCGGGAAAAACAGACAGCTGATCCGGCACGAAAGCTCGCCGTTTGGTCGCTACGTTTACACATCACACATGTTACACGCAGCAAACAAACAAAAGCCTTCGGTTCACTTATTCATACCAACTTTATATATCAACTCCCCGAACAGTGCCCATTTAACAGGAGACAATACAGCAGCATGTGGTTTATTAAAGGGGATCCATCATCCTTTTTTTACCGTTTCCATGGCGAATGCTCATATTAAACAATCAGTGAGGTCACACAAATAATGCCTGTGAGCCAAAAGTTTCATTTCTTGCAGGTTTTTCTGTTCTTGGGTCTGTATGACGTCACCGAGAGTGGACGTCCAGGCGCAGAAGCCCCGCCCACCTCCCGTGTGTGTGTCGCTGCACTTAAAAAGCCTGGGCTCATGCTTCACTCTGCATCTCTGGCACATTCAGAGGCACCTCCTTCAAAAAGAGGCACACGAACAGCTGGGTCAGCTGATTTGGAGCACTGAATACCCCAAACTGGCCTCCCCCTCCTCTTCCTCACAGGGAGATCAAGGCGGGATCTGCTGTGCTCATTTCCAGAAAGATATGTTTACTTGGAGTCAGAGGAGCTTTGGAGAAATCCGTTGGTTCGTGTTCCTCATTCTTTTCAAACCATCCTCCTTAAGATTAAAAGATACGAACAGAGGGGTAGGTGGAGCCAGAGCGGGGTGTGGATGACCATATTAAGAATATCTATGCTCTCTGACATCATCAGAGTGATGAAAACAAACCCACAAACCTGCCAGAGGCGAGGCTGCCGGACACTGGCGCCACCGGGCCCTCTGACCAGCACCAGCAGACACAGGTGAAGTGTCTCGCCCAAGGACACAACGACCGAGACTTATTTGTTCTAGTATTCGTTTTACTTGTTTTTTGAAATGACCATAAAAAATATAATAAATGAAAGTATCAAACAAAGAATCTAGTTAAAGGGGGTGGTTCTGTTTTGCTCTCAGGCCGCCGTGGCTCGTTCTGGCGCCCGCGCTGTACTCTGGCTGTGTGTGGTTTTAGAATGAAAGAACTAAAAGTGCGCCGCAGCGCGCCGCAGCACGCCGCAGCACGCCGAAGGCTTCGACGCCACGATCGAACCAAACTTACGTCCCCGTTCTTCAAACCATCCTCATCCCACTCTCTGTTCCTCTGCTCTCCGTCTTTCTCCTTTTCTGCAATGTGGCCGACTGGGGTGTTTGGGTTGTCGTGGCAACCAGATCCCAATATGTGGCCCGCATGCTGCAGCGGGAGCCAGAAAAAGAACAGCCCACACTGGTCACTATGGCAACACACCTCCTCGGGGTCCTTCGACAGCTCATCCTTCCTGAGACGCGGTTCCCTCTCTGAGATTGGACCCGGAGTCTTCCTCTGGGGCGCCCTCCCCGCCCGGGTCATCGGCTTTACTTTCTGATGTGATCTGGCTGTGTGTGTGTGTGTGTGTGTGTGTGTGTGTGTGTGTGTGTGTGAGAGAGTTTACCGGTGTGTGTGTGAGGGTCATCTCCCGGACCAGGAAGGCAGAGTTGCCCTCTTCATTGTGGCACGTGATTTTAAAGTCTCCGTATGTGGCGCTGTTGTCGGGGTTGGGCCAGTACTGGTGACACTTCACCTGTAAACACATCAAACACCTTATGACTCTCAGCATCTACCCATCGCGTCCTCGCCGTTACATTTCAAACCATTAAACATGTCCAGTTTCTCCAATTTCTCATCCCCGGATGTAAACTGTAGATCGAGTCCAGAGATTTTTTATCTGCACCGTGTCTGGAAGCTTCGTTGTTACGTAATGTTGTGTTAAGGATTACTTCTTTCCAAAACTAACAACGGCTTGAGCTGCAGAGAAGTCTGCAGCGTGTGAGACTTTGCAGATAAATAATTAAATATACTGAGGCATTACGACGCAGCTCGACCAGACGCCTCAGCGTCGTAACCTGTGCCGCTTACCGGTGAAACGTTAAATTCAAACGGCTCTTTCTAACAGTACATTTTCAGTTTCCTGCCCTCGTCCTTGAAGAGATCTTTTACATACCCGCCCTCTCTCGACCTGGGTGGTCAGCATGACCACCATGGATGAGCCCTGCTCCCACGTCATCTGCCAGAAGTCGGGGCAGGTGTTGGGCAGCGGGCCCTGGCACGCGATGTAGCGGTTTATCAGGCTGGACGCAGGAATCTCCATCTACACAGGACGACACACACACACATCAGAGGTTCAGGTTAAAGAAGCAGAGACTGCATTAGATTTGCATCTTACTCCAACTTATTTTGTTGTTTTTTTGGATCAGCGCTTGTCCCAATACAACATGTCATTAACTACACTTTCTAGCTAACAGAGAATAAATGAATGGTCATTTTCCATGAGCGTCCCAACTCTATCAAATCAAATAACAGTCAAATTATCCCAGGTCTTTATCAGATTACCTACAGCCCCTGAATTAATAATGACACTGATGAGAAGCTGGATTTGTTCATGCTGATTAGACGGCGAGGAAGCAGGGCCTGTGTCCTTCACGCCGAACAACTACCGATCACAGAGTGAACAAGGCTTTAAAATGCCGCCCTTCACACTGAAACACTGTTTGCAAAGGTTTTCGTGTTTGCTGCAGGGAACAAACCTCCAGTAGGTCTGAGAAGGCATGACATGAACAGACAGAGAGCCACCCACAGGAAGGAGATTCAATTCATTAAAATATTACGCTCTTATATTAAATTCTTACCAAGAAGCACCCGTTCTCTGTTTGTAACCCTCTTATACACGCAAGCTGCCGTTAGCTTTGAAAAATAAAGGCCTGGCGGGCCGATACCACAGCCTGCCATGTGGCAGAGCCAGCCCAAGAAGTCTGCGCTCCAGTTTCAGTTACTTAGCATAACTACCAGATGATGGGTGCAGCTTTCCAGGATTCACTGACAAACTAGCACTCAAGCCCCTCGTCCAAATATGGCCACAAAGACCCAAACTCACGGCTCCGAAACTGGAGCAGCGTGTGATATGATAGTCCTGTTCAAATGCACCGGCTGCGATTCAGCATCAGTGTAACATGCAAGCAAAACTGCAGACATTAAAGATAACTCACATTGATGTAATTTGCATTGATGTAATCATCTGTGCTTTTCAGAATGACGCGGGTGGCATCATCTGTCGGGAGAGACGAACAAGAGAAGGGGGTCAGATTAGGCAAAGAAAAACAGCAACAAGTCCAAACTGTGTCTTTAATGCATGTTTGCATTCAAGGAGGATTTTATCCTTTGTTCTCGGGTCGTTACTTTGTTACTTCTGTTAAAAGTTGTTGGAAAAAGTCAGAAAATAGAAGTCGAGGGGAAAAGGGAGAAAGTTTGAGGGGTCACGTACAGGGAGAGATGTCTCTGTAGCGATTTTTGGAAACGTTCTGAGGTAATTTGGCACACAGCATCGTCATCCCCGGCCTCTTCCTGTACAGTTGCTGCAAGACAAGGAACACAAATATCGGCATTTGTCTTTGTTTTGTGCGTTTTTATGTATTATAAATTTGAAAAGCGCATAAATCAGGAACGTGGAGGAAAGAATTAATCAACAAAATATTTAAAAATAAATGACAAACCACCGACTCGAGCCTGCAGTTTCACGTGTGTGTGAGCGTGTGAACTTTTTTCGTGTCCTTCTTACATCAAACTGTGCCAGTATGGCTCCGCCGCCCAGGCCTTCCTTCAGTGCGACCATAGAGTCTCTCAAAGCATGCTGGTCTAGCTGGGCCGGGTCCTGAGGGGATTTCTCAGGGATGTACTGAAAATCTGGCTCTGGATCCACCTTCTCCTCCACCACGTCATAGATGGCTGAGCAGGAGAGGAGAGGGAAACAAACTGTAACAGGAATCTATGAGCTTTTCCATCTGACACATATACAGATCACCGCTGCTAAGATTAAACAAAGTTCACAATAATGAGCTCAGCTTACATCCCTGTAAGGCAAAGGCTCTAATCTTGGATCCGCATGAAAGTGGTTGTGTCGAGCATGCGGCTCAAACCACGAGCTGCTCAAATCTGTCCTTTGCAGGAAGCAGCCAATCAGGAATGAGGAAGAGGAGGAAGAGGAGTCCAAACAGCTCGTTTAAGACAGTAGATAAAGGACTTACAGAGGACACGTTAACGCTCAACTGTAAGTCGTGCAAAGCTACACTAGTAGAGCCCAAGAATAAAAACATGGAGTTAAACAACAAACTTTTAAATACAACCAAACTCGAGCACAAAGAGAAGACGTGTCCTCTGTGTGTAAATACTTACAGTCCAACATTTCAACAGCAAAACTGAATAACGTAAAGACGTCGATGGACTCTTCTATCTGCTTTGATCTGTTTCTGACCCACACACCAAACAGTTTCTCCGTTTCATCATCTTTAAGAGCACTTCTCCCCGCTTCGCTGATTAAAGGAGACGCTTCAGCACGAGTCTTCTATGTGGTGAACACACATACGGCCGAGACGTACCGATACCACCACGTGCGGCTTCGAAGATCTCGTTTCCACCAGTTTCTGACCACATTTCATTTTCAGGAGTGTGCTGCACCATGTGTTAATGCGTTAAACTCAGCCTGTAAAACACTTCATTCGAATGTTTACGGTCCTTAAATTAAAACCGGCCGCACCGCACAAACTGCAAGTCTCATCAGGAGCAAATATTCAAACCCAGGAAGTGGCAGAAGAAGCTCACTAGCATACAAAGACACTCTGAAGGTTAAAGCCTGAAGAAAATATATGAGCTACTAACATACCTACAGTACTAGTGTTCGAGAGTACTTACAGTTTATACGTGTACAAATATCCTCTAAAAATCTGATCTTTCAGTACTTTCTGTAAAGGCCTAAGTACCAGAAGTTTGCCTGTCGGTGTAAACGATCAGACATGACATCATGACCACCTGCCTGATATTGTGCTGGTTCCCATTTTGCTGTGGTATCCGCACCAAGATGTTAGCAACAGATACCTGTGAGGCCTGTGAGCTGTGAGGTGGGATTCATCAGACCAGGACACCTCCTTGCATTGCTCTGTGGTTCATTTCTGACGCTCACGTGTCCGTTGCTGGCGTTTCCGGTGGTGGACAGGGGTCAGCATGGGCACCCCGACTGGTCTGGAGCTCAACACACAGCAAACTGATGCTCGGTGTATTCTAACACCTTTCTATCAGAACCAGCATCAACTTTTTCTGCTGTTTGATCGAACCACACCGGTCAGCCTTTGCTCATCCGTGACCGTTGGCCACTCACGACTCTGTCGCTGATGCACACTGACCCCTGGGGGACACCCTGGGAGTACCCCACAGGAGCTGAGGTTCTGGAGATGCTCTGACCCAGTTTGGCCTTTTGTCAAATCCTTACACTCGACCATTTTTCCTCCTAACATCAACTTTGAGGACAAAATATTCACTTCCTCCCTGATATATCCCGCCCACTAGCAGATGGCATGATGAAGAGATAAGTGTTATTCACCTCAGCGGTCAGCGGTCAGGATGTTACACCTGATCAGTGTTTAATGCACTGGGCACTCTAACAACCACTCACCATTAGGTCTGACCAATAGGATGAGCTCCCCGGAGTGGTTCTCACAGCTGGCCTTGATGAACATGACTACCTGGTCATGGGTGTGGTCAGAGATGTCCCGCCCATTAATCAGGACTACCTGGTCGCCCTCGTTAAGGCGAGGCACACAGAGGTCAGCCTGAAGAGGAGAAAGAGAAGAAAAAAATAAGATAGCTGAAGTTTTGTGTTTCTGGACGTTTTATACTAAAGTCAGCATCAGTCTGACTCCACCACGGAGACCTCAGAGAGTTTGGCGGCTGAAGACGTGTTTTTATGAGTGAGAGGAAAAAATGTGCAACTCACTAGAGTGTAAAGACAAATGAGGTTCTTGTTGACTTACTGAGGTTCCCGGAGCCACTCTAGACACAATGATGGGCATTTTCTGGTCAGCTCCACCCTGCAGACACACACACACACGTTAACAGCGTCTTACACAAACGTCCTTTTTATATTTAGGGTCGAGTTAACATTTGGGAAAGCAGTGCGGATGTGTCCACGTGCATACAGATGACGTGCCCACGGGCAAAGGTTTACACCAGGCATAGAAATAAGCTAGAAAAACACAAGTCAGACTGAGCGGCTGCAGGAGAGATAAAAGGTGGCGAGGGGAGTTTTCACTCCCGTCTCCTCAGCTCTCACCTTGACATTGAAGCCGAAGCGTCCGTGTTCATCCGGTCTCATCTTGATCAGGACCAAGTTATCGTGAGGGACTACTCCGTTCAGCTGAAAGAACACAAGTCATCACGTCAACATCACGGATCAGCACATTGTCAAACAACAGCTCCGAGCGCTCAGACTTTAACAGCGGCCGATCCTGTAAGCTTAATAGATTCATTCTCTTTCCTGTTACACGAGTACAACTGCAAATACATTACAATGCAGACGGCTATAAATGCACCACAGTACACCAGAATAAAGTGGTTCACTTCAGCCCAACTTTTATTGCATTTTTAGCACAAACGTCACTTTTTTAAAAAATGTAACCAGTAAATTCAAGTCTGAAACACATAAAAAGAATGAAACAGAATGAGAAACTTCAACAGATGTCATAATATTTGCAGGTATATGTCACCGTCTCCAAATCATTTAAAACCACCTCTAAGGTTTAGTCCCTTTTACACATACGTCCAAGCAGAGCGTGCCGCCTTCTTTCATCCTCATTTTGCCAGATTTAGAGACTCATAGAAGAAATAAGTCCTGGGACCAAAGACAGCAACGACCCCGCCTTTTTAATAGATGCTTAACAGCCAAAACAATGAGCTAAAAGGCTCTGAACAGCTTAGAAAGATTATATAAAAACGGCACAAATATAAAATTTCTCTTCATCTATTCAGATATTCAAACATCTAGAATCAGACGACTTCTGAAGCTAACAGTTTCCATTTACTTGTACAGAAACTGTTGCAGTTTTTTTTTTATGACGCCTTCGTACTGACCGTGGTCTTGTCGGCATTGACGGGAACGTCATACATCTCATTGAGGTGATTGTCCAGCAGGCTTTGCTGGGAGTGGGCCTGGATGATCTGGCTCAGGGTCTTCCTGCTCAGCTGCTTGGGCGGGAGAGCTGGAGGCTGGCCATCCACCCCATCTGGAGACCTGAGGGAGGCAAACGGCGGGAGGAAGAAGAAGAAAGCAGCAATAAAGGAAAAATGAAGGCGAGATGACAGCGAGAAACACGTTTCCAAGTCCTTTGTGTCGCCATTTGTTACGATACCGTTAGTAACACAGGATTTGTGAAGCTGCTGTGAGCGCTCGAGGACGGACAGCAAAGCCGCAAACATGCATTCATGATAACTACACAACAATGGTCTTCCTCTTTGTTAAAGAGGTGGAGTGAAGACAAATGGAGAAAAGCAGGCGAGGAGACCGTGAGAGACAGGGAGGCTTAATAGCACTGTGTTAGTCACAATGCATTAACCTCGATAAAAGGGCTGCTGGAGGAAGGAAAACATCCCCCCTCCATCATCCCGACAATAAAGAAGCAGTCGGCGCGTACGGCGAATCAGCAGCCAGGTGAGGCTTTCAGCATCATCAGGGCTCGGTCTCTGCTGCGTAAAAGCATTTCAGTGCATGTCTGCATCCACGCGTGTGCACTGCTGCGTACGGGCGCTCCTCGGGGGCAGAAGCACAAGTCAAAGAGCATTGCCTTTGTTTTGGCTTCTGCTACCGCTGTCACTTTGTCTCTTAAACACACGAATGCAAACTAACATTTATTATGGGTCAAAACCAGGTCAGGCTTTCAGAGAGAGAGGGCAGCGCGCAGCAGGCCTGAGCCGAGGCTGCACATCATCCTGCATTATGCATCTGCTCGGCGCGACAGCCACAACCTTAGGCCAGCCCCGGGATGAGGACACGGCTAAGCCCTGCTTTTTAGCTTTCCTTCTATCAAATACTTCCATACTGGATCTATGTTTATCGCTCGATAAATTTTTGAAAGCACGGTGTAAGAGGGAACCAAATGAGTGTGCAGTGACAGAAAAATCATATGCGGGTACACGAGAGGGCTAAAAGGAGCTGCAATAAAGAAAAATGTTGCTTTAGAAACCACAAAAAGACAAATTTAAGACCTGTTTCAGTGCACACCCAGTTTTTATTTTCCAACTAAATAATTCACCAAAGCCTGCCTTTGCTTTGAATTCAAAGAAAAGAGTTTGATTACAGCACAGAAAATAATTTATTATGACAACTTTCATTTAGATGCACCAGCACATAATTTGGGCGCACGCGAAAACAACACCACGCCTCCTGGCACTGCAGCGAGAAGTCTGCGTGTGCAGCGCCGCGCTGTTGTAAAGAGGATGACCCAATCGACGTTTAATCCGACAATAACAAACGAAAGAAAATCCACCGTGTCATAAACTCCCAGCTCCGGCCAAAGGCATAATCACGCCAGGCTTTTTCCCTGACGCTGTCAAGGAAATAAAGACACTGCAATTAAAAATAAGGATCCCTCCAGTGTACTGTGGTTAGCTAAACAGATCATTTTCAACTTCACGCCACTAGAAAACAGAACATTGGGGCTTTTCTTAAAGGGCGTGGTGACAAAAAGCAGATTCTCCTTTTAGTTTAACTGGAGGAAAATCTCCAACGCGTAATGCCGAGGAGCAATCCACCTGAAAACACGCAAGCAATGCTGCAAATATTCACTCGAAAAGGCAGAATTTATTTGATAAATTATATCAAAGCCAAACCACAGCGGTTCCAACCAGCGGCTGATATCAAAAAGTGATTCGTGGTTGAGGTTCATAACCACTGAAGCTGAAAGACGTACTTAAAAACATTTCTTCTAATGGTTAGCGTCCCAATTCTCTTCTGCACAGTTGCAGAAAACATTCACAGCAAAAGGAACGTGGCTAATACTAAGTATAGCGCTGTGATTAAAACTGATAGATGTGCTTCTGAACAACTGTAGCTGAAAATAGAACAAATTTTAAAACAACGCTAACGCTTTGTAATAATTCGACCTTCAACTGAGCGTACTGAGTAGACTAACACTAACAATCCAGGCTGTTACAGGAAACAAAGGAATTGCACTGGAAGCTCATTTAAGTAGAACCTCGTGTATGTTACATTGTAACTAAATTTAAATAATACATTCAAATAATTCCAAATACTTCACAGGCAGCATTATAAAGTGTAATCAAAATAATTCACCAGGTTTAATATTATCAGTGAATTCATAGCTTTTATATATTCTCTAAACCGTGATGTGTTTTGCTTTTAACCTGAACAGGTAACATGGATCATGAATGTCTCTTACACACGGACCTGAGGTGCTTTGACACTAAATGTGAAGACTTGTTTTCATCAGGAAAAACTAAAGTCTGAAGGGTTAAACATGCAAACTCCAAAATAAAGCATCTGAGGTTCACCTCATAAAACGCTGTTTTGGCCTGTTTTTATTTCCACTACCACGATGGACGAAGCGCACAATAACAGAGAGGGAGGAAGGGAGAGCAGGTGATTATGTCATGTTCTGGCTCCGTAACAGAGCGATGAGCCACTGACTTGGCGTGTCCGTCTGCGTGTGCAGCTTTGTAGGCAGAGGAAGTACCACTTAAATGTTACTTAACCATCCTGACGTCCAACTGAGACATCCATCTCTCCTACCAGCTCCATGCAAGGTTTCAAACGCCGAAGCAGCCGTGTGGAACTTTACTAAACGACTCGACGAATATTTCACAGTGTGAGAGCATTTTAAGGAGATCCAGAAAGCACAGATACACGCGCACACAGACACACACGCGCGTGCTAATTCCTAGTTCAGCCCTGTTGCACAAGCGCTCCGCCCTGCTATGCGCTATAAACACATTTTACGGGCTGTTTTTCAAAGGGTTCATCTTTCCACTGGGGCCAGCTAAGTGACACTGGGAGGGTGTGAACTGTCGGGAGAAGCCACAGACACCGACAGGCAGACTAAAAACAAAAGCTGTCAACTCAGCAGTACTCTCAGACTAAATCTGATGAGTAAAATGTAAATTAAAGGGTGTCTGTGTTCGGGGGACGCTCTATTTACGAAGCAGTCAAATTATGATCCAACCACCGCTCTGCCACCGAGTCCAAAGCTGATGTTTGCTGCCCAAATACAAAGAGCTTGAAGAAACGTGAGTGGGACGTGCGTTAAAGGAGAAGGAGACGACTTACGGTGTGGAGTCCAGGCTGATGCTGTTAGCCTGCGTGGACGACGCCGACTTGTGATTGGAGGAGAAGACGGGCAGGCTGGGTGAAGCGTGGATCACGTGATCCACCAGGTGGCCGACCGACGACGGCCGTAGTCGCGTGCCTTCTTGGACAAACAGCGAGTTCCTGACAAACAAACAGACGCAGACACACAGTGTTCAAGGGCAGCGATGGAAACGTGACCCCAAACGCATCATTCGTTTATTTACCAACAAGACGTTCAGATTTAAAGCCCGTGATCTTTACAATTTAACTCTTTTTACATTCGCGCCTGGATTTATGTCAGCTGTAAGGCTGCAAGGAGGCATTGCTTATTAAAACATCCAGATTTGACACTTTAATGACGCTCTGCCTTCATCTGATTCACAACAGATGCTGAACAACTGGAAGATTATTCACCTGCTCTCTGTCATCTTTAAGCCTGCTTTACGATTTCTCCTCATGTAAGGCTGAAAGCCATAAATGGCCATTATGGTCGAGGAGATCCCAGCAGTGCTGCTCAGACTGAAGCCGATGTTTCTCTGGCTGAATACTGAGTTAACAAACGTTGTGGTAAAAGAGGCGGAGCCACTCAGAACCAGCAACGACTCTTTAAAAACCCGTTATCACCCACCAATTAATTCTTGACAAGTTCAATAAAAACACAAACAGGTGTCCAAAAGGAGAGAAAGAAAGAAGAAGTTGGACCAGAGCCTGGTCTGTTCTCTCCACAGTGAAGCAGACTTTTACCTGCAGAAAAACAGCAGTTTTATTTACTTTATAAGCTTCTCGTTAATCTATAATAACAGAGCACAAGCTGACCTGAAAATAAACACAGCCTCAGCCCTGTGAGAGAGGAGTGGACGGGAAATATCCGATACATCCTGACGAAGGAGAAACTCCTCATCAGTGAGCGCGCACTTTAACATTTAGTTTTCTTTACAGGTGAAACTACGCAGTGATCTTGAATATTGTTTAGGGAAAGGGTGGGGGAGCTGCAGGTTGTAGATGTGCTGGAATGAACACGCCAGACTATTTTCTTTTCCCACATCGGCAAAACCTGACATGGACTTTGCACCAGCAGCTGGCAGGTGAACATTTGGGCTCTCACATCTCTGCTGTCTGAATCCCAGAGAAGTCCAGGTCTGCGGGACATAGGTGAAGAGTTACGGAGACAGTTGAAGTGTACTCAGAACTCACTGATTGGGCGTGCCGGGCGGGGAGCGAGTGGGCAGGCTCTGGGTCTCCAATCTCTCGTCCGATAGGCTGTTCCTGCTGACCGACTCCCAGTCGGTTCCACTCACCAACTTCCTGGCCAGCGGCTTGCTGGGTGACCTGCTCAGACAGACGCACTAACTCAGCGTTGCACAAAATCAACATGAATCATCAGCTGACCATCAAGAACCCGAGAATTACCTGGCAAACACTCTGTCCTTGATGCCTTTCTCCTTCCCGTACTGCACAGACTGCACCTCCGTCCGCCCGCTGAAGACGACAAAAACAACTCTTAAGTTTAGGACAGTTTCAAAAAGCAGCTATCGAAGGTTTTCTGTGACAAATGTGATAAATCCATACATGCATATCGATTTTATTTAACACAACAAGACCGTGCTGCCTTATTCTAATAACAAGAGGCCCATCAGTGAGTTAGCTCCTCCGATCTTTAAGAAATCTAAACAGCATGAGCTGCCTGCCAACCAGTAACAAGCACAGCATATTTCATCTTCTGAAACAAAGTTAATAAGATTTTTAACAGCACAAATTCACAATTCAGGTCTGTGCTTATTGAAAAGTCAGTCAATATCTCAACCAAACACATGCGCGCGCACTCAGCGGAGCCAAACATCAGACGAGCCTCGCTCACGTTGCATCACTGCTGCTCAATAATGCATCACAAGACCTCCAGCTCTCAGTTCAGCTCTCGCTCACATTTCATAGAAAAAGGAAACGAAAAACATGGCGCCAGTGAAGTGAAACAAAGTTGACACAGTGCAATGTCACAAAGCAGCGAGGAGAAAACCTCATTTTATTTTATGTTTCGGTGCCGGTTCCAACTTGAAGTAAAAAACAAAAAACTATCAAACCAAACGGGAAGGAATGCTCTGTCTGAAAGGAGAAGGGCGGCGGCAGCGTGACGGAAAATGAAATGAAATGCACGGCTGGCTCTCACGTGGACGCAAACACTTCCTGCAAAACTTGAAAGACAACGGTCAGAAGGCCAAACACGAATTCGGTTACTTTGTTTCAGGCAAACCATGAATAATTAAGCCGTGCTTTTCAGGGGCAAGGTAGTGCGAGAAGGTTCAAAGGCAAACGGCGGCCACTTTCAGCGTCTGAAGCGAAGGAGGAGGGCCAGACAAAGCATCCACCCACATATCTGTGTGTGTGCTGGACATGTGAGACCCTGGATGTTCAGAGGCTCTCCGGTGCTTCTCTGACAGCTCGTGTTTGTGGCCTGCGGTTCTCACCAGTATCTGAACTTGGAGCCCAGGGTGAAGTAGTAGGCGAAGAAGTTCTTCTGCGGCGGGATGGGCCGCTCCAGCCTGAAGAAGGTGTGGTGCTCCACGCAGGCTTTCCACAGGTTCTTACAGGCCCGGTAGTTGACCATGTTGAAGCCGAGCAGCGTCTCACGAGACTCGGTCTGTGTGCAGCGAGGAGAGGACGGGGTTAGTTCATGACCTGCTCCGATCATCCATAACTGTTAGCTACAGTAACAAACTGTTGCACATGTTTGCCGCCCTGCTATTACTTTTTATTCTCTACTTTGAGCGATTTCAGACAGGTTCTTTTCTCCTGAATCACAAAGGGCCTTCAGGGGGTGATAACTGTGCAAGAAAGAAACATCGTGTGGCTCAGAGAGCAGCAAAAATCCAGGAAAAGCCCCGTCACACTTCATTACTTTGAGATAAGCTTGTCTTTAGTACTCTGAGTCTATTTCAAACATTTAGCTTGTTAACACGTTTGGTCCAGAGCCAAAAAACAGAAATAAATAAACAAGAAGTGCTCAGAGAGCACAAACTCCACCAAGGCAGCTTTTAAGAAAACTGTTTTTATTTTCTATATTTAGTTTTCTTTTAAAACGTAAAAGTGCGAGCTTTTGTTATCTGCACTGCTGAGTATAATTATTATTGATGTGGATATAGTTTAGTATGTTTGTATTTTTAATGAATGCACTAACATTACTATGACTTTCAAAGTCAGATCAACCGGACTGAACTTGTTGGAGAGGTCAGAGGTCAAATCTGACCTGATATGTGATCATGTCCTTATGTTGAGAATCCACAGCTCGCGCGTCAGAACCACGGTTTCTAAGCTCGAAGGCTTTTTGTCCATCTTCCAATAATAACTCATGAAGCTGATCTTGAAGACCTCGGTGGGTGGAAGGCAAATTTAAGCGGCTCGTTAAGATGAGCCCACTCGACACCCCTACAAGATTTATTAGAATTACGTTTTTAAACTATTGTGTTTACAGACAGAATAATGCACACACAACCAACACCAGAAACATGAGCTTAACTTCAGACGGGCCATGAAACCAAGCTGTTTAGCAACTCACCTACACCCGAGCTCCACCTTCTACCTGACTCAGTGTCTCTGACCTGAGCTGGTCTCATGCTGGCAAATAGAAATACTCGTCCTGTGTGCGCTCTCACATGATCAACACTCAAACTTTCCTGTGTATTATAATTTGTATTGTCATCAATAATAACAACTAATCTCCTGAGCTATGATCTGAAACACCTGGAATGAAATGTGTTGATACAGCAACAACAACACACTGAAAAATGAGGAAGCTTAACGTCGAATCTTGAGAACGATGCTTGAGAACGGGAGTTGCCAGCGGCTGTAATTGTTTGTTTTGTAATAACGCTGAGCTTAAGATATTACGTCGGGTTTAAGAGGGCTAAATGAGGACAGGAGAGTAAATATTTGTGGTGGAGACAAACATGCTGTTTGTTGTGTTGAAAGCAGAAACACATTCAAGGGTGAAACAACACAAAGGGAGGGATTACAACAGAGACGCCCAGGACACGGACAGCAGGGGGTTAATCTGATGCTGTCACACACACACAGAGGTTAACAGGTGTGTGTGTGTGTGTGTGTGTGTGTGTGTGTGTGTGTACACTTACTGCCTCTCTTCTCAGCTGGATGAAGAACTGTTTGCACTTGAAGGAGATTTTCACTATTTTCAACCTGGAAGTAGAAAAGCGGAGTTAAATCTTTAGTCCTGAGACGCTGACGTTCCACTTTCAAACAACCCGACACACTCTCCTCTTTTCCACTCGTCACACATTTTCACGCTGCACAACATTTAGCCTCCTCTCTGCTGTCACGTCTGCCTCGTCATCTCTTCTCATTTCCACCCATCCAGCCAAATCTCTGACTTAATTAGTCTGGTGTTGTATGACTGGCCATGAGGGAGGTCTTTATCTTTATCAGCAGGAAAAGCTGGAAAACTTCCTAATGCAGTTAAAAGTCCAAAGTTTATCCCCTCATCCACATTTCCAGATTCAAGTCTTTGCCGGGCTAATTCTGGGCCCCCAGCCTTATGTTTGACACCCCTGTCTTAGAGGATACCATTAAGGCTTAAAATTAAGAGCACTGCAGGAAAAAGTACCACAAAACCTACTTTTACTGATGCATGCAGACGCTGAAATTATGACCGAGTCCAGAAACCAATACGTGACCACACGGCAGCTACAAGCGCTCAATGAAAGCAAAGCAGGTGAGCCGCGAAAGCTTATTTACAATCAGTGCATCTTTAAACAGACAGCAGTCACAGCTCGTAGACTTACGTGATGAGATCTGAGTGTACAGATAAAATCCTTTGGGATTGGTCCCACAGTCAGGTGATTTTTAGGGTTTAGTCAAGTTTAGTTTTAAACTGTTGTGGAATATTTACATTTTAAGAAGAAACGGAATTAATTAAATTGATTTGGAGCTGGTTCTGGTTCTCATACAGTGCTTTTGTACTCCTGCTTGCTTCTCCACCACAATCTTCTGTAAGTCTGACCCGAGCTCTGAAAAGCAAATCTCTCATTTCTTCTCAGCTGGCTGACTCACGTGTCCTATCAACTGTTCATTTAACCTCTGACCTCCTGCCAGAGCTTGAAGGCGTGGGCTAAAAGATGTGCCAACACCAGAGAGTCCGAGGCTTTAACCACGCCGATATTACCTCATCAATCTGTGCATTACCTGAAACGCACACGCTATAAAAATGACTCAGAAACCGCACACGCGTGACCACAGTAAGAAAGTCTGCTGATGAGCGGCAGGAGCAGAGTAACCTAATCCCTTCCTCTAGTTTTGTTGCTGCTGTGACTCATCGCTGCTTGCTAAATATATTTTACATACTTGCTCGCACACACACGTGCATGAACACACACACACACACCCAGAGCGTGAGTCATGCCCCATCTAAGTGTGGCTCATTTGTCAGGCTGCTGTGAACAGAAATAGGAAAGAGGCAGAAATCTAAATGTCTCTCTTGACCCCTCCTCATCTGACAGATCGATCTGCGATAAGGCAAAAGGGGAGGCGGCGTGAGGTGTGACGGGAGGGAACCGGACGCAGAAACGGCGAGCTTCTGTTAAAGGAGGGCAGAAAGAAGAGGAACGGGAAGAAAAATCGGCGAGCGTAGGCCGAGAGATGCTGTTGACTATAATGTTTCTCTCCCGCTCCCTCCCTCTCTCACACATGGTAGTCAGCAGCTGTTGGGGACACCGCTGTTGGGCTCTAAATTTAGCTCAACAGACTGGATGCACACGCACACTTCCTTTAGCCTATTTTTCCTCCACTCAGGACGACTTTGCATCAGCTTCTCTCGCTTAAGCGCTCATTCCACGGAGACTTATCCGTAGTCGCTCAAACCGGAAACAGAGTCTTAACCCTACGATTTCATGGTTTGGCTTTCCTGTGGCCCAAATGGAAAGACCTCAGATTTATGAATATAGGCCTCGCAATGTCTGTAATACAAAATCCTTCCATCGAATCAAACTCATCTTAGAAAAACCCCCAAAGATGCACCTACACACACACCAGCCGCTGTGCGAGTGTGTTCAGGATGTATTAAGCCTACACATCTTCCAGCGTTACAGAGGTTTGAGTAGTTCATCTCCCACCCTCAGCACCCATTAACATTTAACCACCCACAATGCTACGGCAGAGAATGGGAGATTTCCAAGAACTGATGCTTCACAGAGAGAACGAGAGCAAAAGGCGATGAGATTAAGTGACTTGGACACAGAAAGAGAGAGAGAAGCAAAAGCAGGACAAAGAGAGAACGAGCAGATTTGACGCCTGTAATATTTTCAGGAAACCTAGTTTCACACAAACCCCTCCCCCCACTTCCCAGAAAAATCTGGTGAAATCATCTGTATAATTCTAGAAAAGCTCAACAGGGGCTTAAACATTAATATGCCATGTCAATAATCACCATGTGAGGGGTTTCCAAAATATTATGCAGCCCGTTTCTCAGCAAAAAGGCTTCCTGGAAGCAGTACAAGAGGAACTGCAGACCGACAGGCGCAGAGGTGGATTTGTGACAAGAACATCCACCGTTTGATTTCCCAGTTCGGGGCAAATTTGGCAGGAGGAAATGACAGAGTATGAAAATATCAGTGAAGTACGCTTTCTTTCTTTCCCCCAGCAGTGCACCGTTTTTCATCCACATCGGATACGAGCCAGGTTCTCCGCTGGCTGCAGAGCTGCTTTCAAACAACCTTGATCTTTGGCTGCGAGCAGGTGAAACTGCAGCCTCAGATCATAAGCGTCTTTTGGGTTTTTTGATACTCCGAAAATAATAAGTGGAATACACGATGTTTACAGGAATACATACATGTTTCGAAAAACACATGTAGTTTCTACGTTTTTTAATCTATCCGATTTCCTGGGTGTGCCGAGGGAAAGATTCTCCCCCCCGTGATGTCCCTCGGGGTTTAGTACCCTTTAGTCCTCTCCTGTTCATCTTGTATATTCTCATTCATCATCAAATTCACTGATAATGCAACTCATTCCACCCTGACCAACCACTTTACTGAAAGTACACGATGGAGAGGAGTCACCTGTGAATCCCATATGCCACAGGTCCACACAGCCTCAGATTCAGAGTCGTATTTGGACACGTTCTGACCAGAGGAACCTCGTCACATTTTTAAACATATCATAGAGGAAGTCCTCCTTTTATGTAAGTCTACACATGAATTAAAGAACTGGAAACTAAAAGTTCTTATTTCCCTGTTGTGTGGGGGGTGATATTAAGCAATCCTACCGGGTAAACAGGTACTAAAGAGGCATCTTTGAGTGACGCCAATCCACGAGGAACAGTCTAGACCAGTGGCGTCAAAAGGCTGGCCCCAAAGGATCTGATCTGCCTGCGCAGAGGAACCTCCCCGGCACTTTCTCTCAATTTGTAAAGCTATCGAGACCGAAAATGACACTGAAACTCGATTTCAACCACAACGGCTCAGAGGTGTCAGATGCTGTCCTTTGCCACAGACTGGCATAGTCTGGTAAGGAGAGCACAGAGGGTTCATCGGCTGGGTATTTGCTGGTGCCCACTCTAAAACCAGTTGGATCCAGTAACATTAAAGGCTTTGTGAAGGGTAAGAAATAAACCAGTCAAGTTCAGAAATCACACCAACATCTGCTAGCAATGGGAAAAGCTCCGTCCAAGCTCAGTGCTCCTTGTATTCTTACGTATAGCATAACATTACAAGTCACTTGTAATGTTATGCTATACGACTTAAAACAGGATAAAACAGGTTCTTCCAACCACACAACTCACATTTCAAGTGTTATCACAAAACCCATGACACACAACCACCAATCAACTCTGATCTCGGTTTCCTCCAACTTGTTGTGGTTGTAGTCTGGCTGCCAGCTGGAAGCTATGCTCACAGAGCATCATACTGGCATTCCTGTTACCACTGGAAAGGCAAACACCCTGGAAGTCACGCAGAACTCAGGGGAGCATCCCAGTCATCCTCAGGGATTTCCCAGAGCTCCCCTTGAAACCTCGCTTTAAAAAAACCCATGTAAATCCAGTCATAGCACTACCTCTGTCACTTCTGCTTTTCATGTGTTTCTTACTTTGTGTTGTTGTATTTTAAAGGACACAGGAAAGTACAGAAACTGAGCCCACATACACACAGTGATGTCTGTGATCCTCTCTTCTTGACGTGTGGGTCACTCACCATGGGAAATAGTTGATCCGTACCCTGTTCTTGTAAATCACAATTCCAGCAGACATCACCCCGAGGAGAATCTCTGTGTTACTCTGGTCCTGAGGAGAGGAGAGTGGGACAGGTGAAGGAGGGCGTGGTAAAGGTGGAGGCAGGTGGGAGGGAGGAGAGTAAAACTGGCTTCCTCACTGATGTAAACCAAGTATGTGTTCCTAAATCTGACACAGAGTCACAGTTTTAAACTGAGCTTCATGATTATAGCTCTCATACGCATTTCATACTTTGCCCGTCACATTTAATCCACGCTCGAGTCCCGTTTGTACATCCCATAATAACACACCTGAAAAATCACTGCTCTCTACTGCCTCAGCTAGAAATTACAACAGGCTAGAGCAGCTCTTAAGTTATCATAGGAGTGTTTTAGCTCGCTGCTGTGAAGTGAAACTACATGAATATAACAGAATGCAGATGAATTAGTCAGGAAGCTCGTGGATAAAAAGAACTGCATCGCAAATACGGATTAAATGCTGGTTTTCCTGCTCTGCTTCTATGTGTTGGTTTCATGATGAGAGCTGAATGCCAATGTGTGGCATTTCTGCAGGGTGTGGGCAACAACGTCAGCTGTACACGCTGCAGCTCCACAGACCTGATCTCAGTCCCAGCACAGACGTGATTGGCTCTGTGAAAACAGTGTATGAAGCACGTTGTGACAGCGGGAAAGAGGGAAACCTTTTACAGATTAAAACGTTGTGATATCAGTTTTGAGCACAACGGCTGAGGGTGCGTCCGGACTCTGGATTATCACCTAACTGCTCGCGGTTGCTGTGGGGGGGGGGGGGGGGGGGAGGAAGCAAGCCGGCTAGAGTGAGATCGCAGACAGCGGACATGTCTGACAGGCCTCCGAGCTTTGGTGGAATTAAAAAAGAAATACAAATGTTGCAGTTGATGAACCGTAATGCTCCAGAAGCAAGGACAAACTCTTCGTAACACAGTCCTTAACACACAGGCGTTAACAGACTTACCCTTGCATAGTGCAGCTCTACCCCATAGAGCTCCAGCGTGCGTGCTGTGTTCAGATAATTAAACTCTGACTCGGCCGGAGATAGACCGCTGAGAGAGAGAGAGGGGAAAAAATAAACAGAGTGAGAGAGGGTGAAGCAGCCGTCGGGAGGCCGTGCGGAGCAGCGACGACGACGCGGTGTGTGTTAGACATATGGAGGCGGAAAATACACAAAGAAAAGCAGCAAACAAACGAGCCAGGCAGAAGGAAAAGGTCGTTAAACCTGCAGCATGTGAGCCATATGTGTGCTTTTATACAGGGACAGTAATCAGTCTTTCATATTTCTACTGTATTTGGTAACACCTTATAATAAGGGCCCATAACTAACAGTGTAACACCCCTGTAATCAAATTACAAGTAATTAAATTTACCTGCAAACGCTCAAAGGTTGTCGTAACCGGTCAGGGTTTGACAGGAAACAAAGAAATAATGATACTGCAAGTCTGCTGAGGGATGCATGAGTAATTTTAAACATTGCATAACTGCAGGTATTTTATAGAAACCAATTATGATGCAAGTGATTTTAAGTATTGCATCATTTCTTGATAATGTTGCAGAAAAACAAACAATATTTCCCCATCTTTCATCGTGACTGTACTCTAAGGTTCAGTGTTATGGATTAACCTTTGCTTAACCTCGCCTAACTTCCAGGTACGTTACAGGAAAGCAGAAGCTCCTTTCTGTACACTCCTTTTGTCAGTTTAGTTTGAGCAGCGATCATGAAAGAAAAATAAATTAAGCTCCAAAGGTTGATTCTGTTCATCTGGACGAAGCGTTTACAGTGGGAGAAACGTCACTCATCCAAGTGCCCAGCCCACTGAGGAAACAATGGGCTGGTTTCAGTCATTCGACTGTACCTACATTTAAGTGTTTGCAGGTAAATATAAATAACAATTAAATCTGATTTAATTACACGGGAACCACGCCCTTAGTCGTGGCCCGTAATATACAGTATGATGGTGTAGGTGCTGAAAATCAACATAAAGAACCAATTTTCGATTTTCCGCCTCCACATGCAGGAAGCTGTACCAAATCACAGGTGTGTTGTAGCGTGTCTCAGCGTACCTGTGCTGCTGGTGATGTTTGGCGACCTCTTTGTGAAAGTCTTGAGGGGGGTTTGGGATAAAGGAGTACTCAGACAGATAGCCCGGACTATGCTCTGCTTCACTGTAGTCCCCCAACTCAGCTAGAAAGAGAAGAGAGACGCACGTTAGGCTTCAGGATGTTCAGTTTTTCCCCATTCTTGGCTCAGACATATCATCTGTGGGAGTGGATATAACCGTCTATTGTCAACTAGCCCCACCCAACTGCTGTTCAAACCTTTTGATTGAGAGGGGCAGCCAATCAGGAACAAGTTGGCAAAAGAGTTTGTTTTAAGACGAATAAGGATTATTTTGAACACTTAATCATGCAAAGCTACTTTGGTGGAGTCACTAACTCTAAGTACTAACTGTGCACTTAGTTTTACAACACATCAGGAGGATGTTTGTTAATAACATCAAATGACCTCATCATTCGACACGTAAAATATCTTAAAGCGACCTTCTTTTCTGTTATATACACTGTCACAATTGGGGTTTCACACTAAACACATTAAACTAAGTGTGTGAAGAACTTTTGCTCTGCCTCTGAGCCCAGAAACCCCGCCCACCAGATGTTTCAATATTCTGTCAGGAGGGGCAGCCAATCAGAAGAGCAGTGAGAGAGTCATTAAAGGGAGAGGAGCTAAATCTTCTTTCAAACAGAGGCCGAACTAAAATACTGCAATAAGCCCCAGTAAAGAGCAAATGTGAAACATCACAGAGTTGGAAATGGGAATAGCTGGCATCCTTCAAAAACAAAACATTAGTAACAGATGAGTGCAATGATAACTGTCAGATCTCTGATAGCTTTCAAAGCGCTCTAAGATGAAGAGCTCAAAGTGAATCCAGCGAGCTCACTAGGCTAAAACCATCAATTCACTCAAGCAGTCTCTCGACTAACCTGCAAACCTGGTGGCCAGAGCATATTGACCAACCAATCAATTCTAGCTCTCCCTTTTATTGATGTGTACACACCACCAGGGACACGTGTGTGCGGTCAATAGCTCTTGTTTCATACAGTAGTTTAAGGTTAGTTTTATTTTAAGCTGCAGTTCTTTCTTTACCAAGGTTCAGCGCGAAGGTCAATGAACCTCAAAGACTCGTCAACCTGATCTTTCTTTGTGGATCCATCTCTTGATGTGAAATCCATACTCAGCTGCCGATTGGATCAAAGTGGGAGATACTAGCTTGAGCTCAAGGGTCTTATAATGATGCTACTGATGATTTTACTCGCGTTGCAGGTAATTAATAGAAGTGTGTATATGTCAATGTGGATACTTGTGTTGGTACAAGTTGCGGTAAGATTAGGATGATATTCAAATTCTTTTGAACTTTTTGGTTTTCAGGCAGTCATTTTCTGCCTTTTTTTCTTTCAGAGCTTTGGAGTTGGATTTAGAGCTGTGAGTACAGCATTTGGGCTGAGCTAACTGAATTAGCAGCATAACAGCTGCTACGAACAGTTTTTCCCCAAAAGTGCACATGTATCTTCATAATCTATGCTGGCACTGAGCGACGTGACGACACGGACCTCGCTACACTCTGTATCTGTGTGTGCGCGCGTGTGTGTAAAAGCAGTAGCAGTGTGATTCAGCTAGACTAGGCCAAATCTGCTCTGTGACCTACATACTGAAGCTGAGGATATTCCCAGCAAAACATGTGATAGAGGAAGAGCGCTGAAAGGAAGAGGGAGGCAGAGTGGAAAGAGGTAAGAGAGGGGGTTTATGAGCGCATAAATCGGTGGAGGAGGGGCTGAACATCGACTGCAATGGCCTAGTCTGCAGGTCTGCATAGTAATGAACAGGTTGCAGTCAGTGGGTTTTACAGTTATAGTGGTTAAATGAGGCTCCAGAACAGCTAAAGTAAGGCACAAGGTGATCACATCAAGCCAAGTGCAGAAGTGGATTTAACAGATCTGATTAGACAGAGAAACTTGATTATTATTTAATTTTTTTATATCAAATTCCCTTGAGAACGGCTGGATTTGAAATGCTGTTAGTGACCGAGTCGTATGTGCTTTATTGCATAAAGCTTGATTTACACTTGTGTGCTGAACCTCTGCTTTGCTGTTGGCAGCAGAGCATCTGCACTGCTCTGCCATCACCAGTGAAACCGAGCTAACTGTGTTGAGCCTGAAGCTAATAAATATTGAACAACAGCTACTGAAATGCATGAAAGGGTGAAGCGACTGAGTCTATGCACGCATCACCAGAGCAATAAAAACCAGAAAATAGCCTGGTCCCACTGGCGTGTAGTGTACAGACTATTGCATCAGCATTCTAAGCTATACAGCTGCATGCTTCTATTTAATGGAGTGTGCTAATACGTGTTTGCTGTATATAATACCACCAAGCTGACCCGTTACAACTGCTGCAACAGTACATTGGCACGTGACACTAGAGGTTTCCAAGTAAGACAATCCTGAGTGACGGCCGAGCAGCTACAGGATCCACGCCAACGTTCTGTTGAATCCATCGGTTGCTTCCATCCAGCAGCACCTTGTAGGACGGTCGAGAGGTAGAAGATGTCCAAACCACAAAGCAGATATCAGACGTTCCTGTGTTCCCTGGTTGGCTTGCTGAACTGTTCTGGGTGCTCCAGAGTTAAATCCATCCAACCGGGCTCTGAGGCTCTTACTGAGTGGCCGTGTCTCTGAGCCATGCAGTGTTACAAACATGGACATCGGCTTCTCTGGTGACTGTTTCCATTGTGGTTTCCGTGTAACCTCCATGTCTCCAGCAGCTCGTCGACCATCAGCTTCTGGTTTAAGGTCATCAGTTTCTCAGATGAGGAAACTCGGGTATGAAATCGCCACAGTGTCCTGTCCAGTATCTGGTATTTGTCACAATTCAATTAATTTAAGGCCCTCTTTAAAATGGGGCCTCAACTGTGTCAAAAAACACGCTCAAAGAGCCTAAAATGCTCTCACACGGCAAAGTGAAAATCTCCTTAAAAGTAGTCTACGACACAGAACCGCAATAACAAAGAAAAACGCTTTAGAACTGTGGCAGCACATCATGGGAGAGGGTGAAGAAAGAAAAACCTTCAGGTAAAACATCTCATGTTGAGAGTCTAGTTTATATATTCTCCCCGTTTGATGCATCCACAGCGTCTCAGAGCGGACGGAGCTGGTGCCGTTGCAGAGGAGCGCCGTCGCAGCAGGCTTTCTCACCACTTTCACCTCTGCATGTTATTTATGAGCAGCCATTTTTGCAAAGAGAAGCCACAACCTCATCGAATATTTATACCACTGGTGTTAATATCAAATATCAGCACGTGGCTTAATTGAAATGTAATAGCTTCAGAGCAGCAGTTATAAATGCACTCAGGCAACCACAGTCATTACATTTAAGAGCGTGTGCAGCTAAAGACAGTCCTAATGAATTGCCTTTCCATTGTTAAGTAGAACTGGAGCACCGAGGGAGCGCTACTTACATTGCACGGCGTAGGAAGCCAGCAGCGCGGCTGTGTTGTGAGGACAGGGCAATCTGGAAGTCGAAGGAAGACGCGCACACACACACACATTCACACAGATTAAACAGACGTTTCAGCCTTGGATCAATACAAAAGTTATTACAGTTCATTTCAAAGAGCAGAGATTAGCTATCATCAATAACAGCAACAGAAATGTGGAGGGGGAAAAATCTATTCGAGTTTGTGTGAAGAACCAAGTAAGAGGAAGCAGCGAGCCTTATATTCACTGACAAAAAGGATAATGAGCGTGTCGTGAGTGCTTGTACGACTGCCCAATGAGCCTACGTGCGCTGCATTAACTCATATTTCCTCCAGTCACCCACATCTTGGCTTTAAAGCAGGACCCACTGTGCAACAATCAGAAGGCTGCCTGAAAGCAGAGGTGTCAACCTCGATTTCACTCACGCACAACGCCATCTGATCTATGGGGTCGAACAAATGCCACCATCGCATAATAACGCCCTCGTTTTCCCTCCACGAAGAAGAGGATGCTCACCTGTGCCGATTTCTCACGGTTAATGAGCGTTTAATGAGAAAACGCCCCGAAATGAACGCAAGGTGACTTTTATTTTTACCTCCGTGTGTTTTTGGAATTAAACTACAGCACGATTTTTACATCCTTCATGATTTAAAGAGCTTGTGTTGATCTACAAATATTTAATAATGAATTCACGACTTTCAGAGGGCCGAACTATTCTCTTTGGCAGGCCGGACCTGTTCCGCGACCCACATGTTTGACACCCCCGGCTTACAGGGGAGGGGAACCTTAAAGCGGCTTGTTTCAGATGACCTACGCTGCTGCACCAAGGCCCAGTAACATAAAAATACGGATTAACTGTAAGTCATGCAAAGTTACCCTGGTCAAAAATAAAACATGGGAAATGCCCTTTAAAGTGTAGGCTTGTTAAAAATATCTGCATAATGGTTCTCATGCCGTAAACACACCTGTATGAGTGCATTTGGCCTGAGGCAGAATGCTCCACCTAGTTGAGTCAGCAACACTGTGTACACAAAGAACAACACACTCACCTTCCAGTTAATATATCCTGTTTGATCTGCAGAAAATACTGGTACCTGAGGGGGAGGAACAGAGCATCAGGACAAGTCATCAGTGAAACACCAGCACAGCTGCAGTGATACTGTCATGTAAGGACGAGCACACAGCACTGGCCTGGTGGGAACATTATCACAGTTACAACTTCTGCGGGGTGGATGTGAAGTGTGTGCGTATATATCTATATATAGTTTAGGTTTCAAACCTGAACGTGAACACTGTTAAGGTTTTTCTGTGTACTACACTGCTGTCAGGAGTGCTTGTTAAACGTGACTTGAATGTACAATGCATCAGACGGGCACGTCAGATCCAAGGCTCTCTATTCACTTTTACAAGCTCCGTGCAAAACCGAGATAAGGCTCAGAGAGGCTGAAACGATCTCTGCAGAGCTGCGATCGCTCCTCTGCACGTGCACAAAGCAGACAGTGGATTTGAAGAACATTTTCTCTTAGAAAAAGATGCTTTTTAAAAATATTTCTTGATCTGCATTAAGAGAGAAAATACAGCTCAGATCCAGAGAATCAATTTGCTGTTATTGGGGTTAAGGTCACTGTTTTTAAATCTTTTTATTCTTCATGCCAGAACTTTTGAAGAATCAGAGAAAAACCGATGTGGGCAACCTTAAAAAAAAAAAAAATCTTCAACTGTTTATTTCCTTCACTTAAGATCTACATTAAACACAGACGACATTTTTTGGGGGGAACTCCGGGACTGTACTGATGTTTCCTGCTGTGTGTGGCTCAAAAAAAAGCATCTCAGCCAGTACAGGTATCTTTCTCCCATTAAAAACTGCACACAGTGTTTCCCTTTAATGGTCTGCAGCCAGGTCAGATTTACTAAACGGGACAAAACAGCGCTCAAAGATCGCTTCATTTCAGCATCAAGCATCAAGAGTTCCCACCTTTTACACGCAATCAGACAGTACTCTGTTTTATTTGTTGTTTTAAATGCCAAACCCCAGTTTGGGATGTCCCAACACGTAAACCTGTCCCTAAATCTTCTGGACCAAGAAAATCTCTTTCTTTGCTGCTCAGACTGAAACACTTCAGAGCATCAAAGTTGCCTTTTTTTGCATTAGCGTGTTTAAACACCTGCTACTACAAGAGCTACTGATGGTGTGCGTTTTGTTGATGCTGATGCCATTACTGACAACTGACCCTGAACGCAGAACTAACAAATCTACAGAAACCATTTCCATTGCAAAGCTCCTGCTCGCAGAGATCACTGCTCCGTTTCTGAATGAAACGACATCAATACAGCGAGTTCGAGTTGCTCTGCTTTGATTAGCACTTTCTGTGACGCTCTGTCAAATGACAAAAACACTTCATTCATTGTGAGGAGCGGATCTCGTTTACAACTGAGCCTTTATTCCTCTGTTAATGAACTTTAATGTCAGCGTTTAACAAACCGAGTGGTTGCTGCTGTTCTTAGCCTGTCGTGTTGTTAGAAACTCTTACCGTGTGTATTCTTCCTGAAGTTTATTGGGGTCTGTGACAAAGAATTTGACTCTGAAGCTTAAGTTATGGGGAGACCCTCCTGCAGAAACAGAGACGAGCAGTTAGAGGGGAGAAACGCTCATCGAAGAGTGTCAGTCTGTGATATAAATGAACACGTGCTCTCTATTCAGGGGCTTCTTTAGGAAACATTATGCATGTGTATTTTTGTTTAGTGATGCAGATAATGGGATAATTAATAATAAGTGTAAAACACACACGTACACTCATGCTGCTTAAGAAACAGAGCTGCAGTGTTTTTTGTCAATGAGCCAATCGACATGAAATAAAGTTGAAGCGCAGTTCAAACATCGCTGGAGGAGGACTGCAGATTCCACTCAAGCTTAATTGTCCCACACGTCACATATTATATTACTCGTTACTAAAAACAAGAGCGGAGTTGAAATTAAGTTTAATAATGGCTCAAAGCACAGGCAGAATTTTAAATGGCAGCGTGGACGAGAGACATCAGCCTCAGGTGGCGAGTGGATTTTTAACCATTGCTGGGACCACGCTGCACGCTGCAGCCTCAACCAGCTGGGAAGAAAATTAATAATATCGTGTAATGAAGTTTGAGTTGAGTGAACGTGTTTGGCTGCAGGATGAAGTGAATTAGCTGAGCTGGTGTGTGCGGAGGATTTCACATACTTTTTAACTGTTTCCTGACGGGCTTATTGGGATCCAGCCAGCGCTGTAAAATATTGATAGAGAGACACTTAGAGACACCATGAAGTATGAACACACAACTTCAATTATTTACCAGTGGCCGCACACACGCACGCACGCACGCACACACACTGATCATTACTCGCAGGCAGACATGATTTAATTTCATCACACTGGCCCTTAAACAAGCTCTTATCAACTCCCAACTTTCCCAACAAAATACAGGATCAGGATCAGCACAGTTTAAATTTGCTTTACATGAATCACTTCTTTAGTAAACACATGTGACCTAACTTACCAAGAAGTCAAACTATAATGAAACTAGCTAACCGAGTAAGGCGGCAGGAGGCGGGTCTGTCGTGTTTTAAAGATCAAATATAATTCTATTAAATCCCCTAAAAACACAGCACCATTAAACTGATACTGGTTTCTCTCAGGCGTGCTTCACAGAGACCGGTCGGCAACCTCCTGGCAACGACTGGTTGCTAAGGTAAAGTGAGCATTCCGTCACTGGCTGCTAGCAGTCGCTAGGTGAAATTGGTTGCTAAGAGACATAAGATGCTGCACTAAAAACTCTTTTGTGATTTCTGTGGCTGTTATCAGGTCGTCATCGGGTTGTCATGGCAACTGTTACTGTACTTTGCATGACTATTTGAATGTTAAAGTGAAATTTGCACCTTTTTAAACGTGTTGGTTGCAGCAGTCAGGTGAACTTTTACTTTGAAGGCAAACCTTCTGTAGTGCTAGTCTTTAAAGACTAGTCAGCCACAGCAATCTGCAATCGATCAAAGCAATCGCGAGGAGGATTTTGGTGCAGCGCCCTCTTTGCAATCAATGTTACACAGTGACAGCTAGGAACCAGTCACCACATGTGTTCAGAGCGCCCAGAGGATCAGTCTATTGGCCTGCGAGACTCAAACTTTAGGCTGATAAAGTTTAATTTGTTGCTGATCTTTACCCAGCAACACGTTGCATAGTTTCAGTGCCCATCAGTGCTCCACAGAAGTGCCGATCCCTGAGTGAAAACAGTTCACACACACTCACACACACACACACACACAGCTGTCATACTAACTGGTGCATCTGATGAGTCGTCAGTCAGGTGCAGGCCAAAATAGTCCCTCTCGGTCAGCTCCAGGTGCTTGAAGACAGCATCCAGCAGCACCTGGCCATTATCCGACTTCTGCAGAGAACAAAGGAAAACACGGTCATCCACGCTGAGCTTTATTTACTACCAACATATAATGATAGACAAAAGTTGTATACACGATCTCCTTGATACACCTTCCTGGAAACAGGTTTCATGTGAGAGTCACTGATGTTGACAGGTTTAAAAAAAACAAAACAAGAAACAGAAACTGCCCATCTGCACTCGAGCTTCCACGAGACGTCAAGATAAACATCAGTTTCAAGCGAAGCGGTGAGCAGGTTTCGTTTACAGATGGTTTCTGATCAGGATTAAGGAAGAGGAAAGGGGGGATTTCTCCCTAAACACAGAGTCCACAGAGAGCCAATTAAAAGGCTGTAAAATGTGAGAAATCACTTATCAAACGCATCATTAATATCACATCGTTTCCTGAGAAAACAGCGAGGGTGAGAGGAGAAGCCACGGGATCACAAGTGGGGCAGAAAGTCACACCTGATCTGCTGCAACTTTAAGAGGAGGAGGAGGAGGCAGGGCACAAATGTGTGGCTCCATCAGAGCTCCCATGGGAGAACACACACACACACACACACACACACCCCTTTGCCCTGCTGACACAGTTTTACAACGCACTGTTTGTGTGTGTGTGGGGCAAACAGACACAATGTTAGCTGACAGTTGACATGTTGACATGGCAGCCCTCTAGGACAACTTGCATGTGTGCAATCTACTAATGTCAAAGCCTTGTTATGTGTGAGTTGCTGGTGTACTGAGAGAACTGGTGACTTTTTGGCCTTCCAGTCACACTCAGGTGAACACGAAAAATTCAACATGGCTACATTTAAGAAGAGGAGCGCTGCAGAGAGGAAAACCTGTGGACAAAGCCAATTTGGTCAGAACATTGTCGAAGGTGATCGGTTAGGCTTTCCTTGTCTTTGTCGAGTTACGTGCTCATTGCTTATTAGAAGAAGTTTAAAATAAGGACGTGAAAAGAGGATGACCACATTAGGGATATCCCCTAATAAGAAGCCCACCAATCAGAAAAATAAGACAGTGTTATCAGGCAGCATGAGCTGGAAACGAGCATGAGCGGTTTAATTAAAAAATATTTATCTGCAGTTTAATAATGCATTAAAACCTGGTAAACAACTGTTTACTCTAGTAGCAAATTCATATTTCACTGCGTCAAACGGCCCTTTTGTGGCTGCTGTTCCTCTAAAGCGCACCCGAGGCTGCCTCCCATATTAAAGAGCCCAGATTGACATCACCAACAAACACGTTTCTAGAAACAGCTTTGCTACCAATAATGCATTTACCCTTCATCACAAGTCTGCAGGGGTGATCATTTTTGCCATCACTCATCTGCTAACAGGCAGACGCATCCTGGTTTTAGCCGATAGCTGCCAGAGTCACTGAACTGGACCTCATCCCTGCTTTCTGTGATTTTAATATGAAATATGGGCTAAACATGGAAGACAAGTGGGCTGTCCTTCATCCATATTTTGTCTCTTCCTGAATTCATGTGTTAACCAACAAATGAAACATGTTTTCCTCAAAATCAAACAAAGTGTTCTTAGTGTTGATGAGGTCGGGCAGGAGTCTCTGTGGACTATGATGCGTGCAGACAACACTGATCTGTAGTGTGCATCGGGAGCAGGTGGAGCTTGAAGAGGTGGAGGTATGCACTAGAGAGAGGAGGAAACAATCCAAAGCAACTGTGGTGAACAAGAGAGTACAGGCAGAGTGGAGCTGGAGGAGACGAGTGTCTGGGGAGCTGCAGGAGGCACAAGATGGCTGTGATGCATGGTTTGGAGACGGGAAGAAAATACAGGAAGAGAAGAGGAAGAGCTCAGAGGAGGTTCATGGACGTAGTGAAGGAGGACAGAGGATGCTGGGGATGGGGTGAGATGGATGCAGATGATCTGCTGTGGCGACAGATGAAGGGAGCAGCGCTTCATCAACATCAAGGCTCTTACATTTCCCTTCCATCATCACCACACCTTAAATTAAAAAAAAATGGGACATTTTAAATCTCTATTAATGCCTCTTTAAATACATTAGAAGGGCTTTTGAAATATACTAATTTTTTTTAGGATGATATAAAATCAGTTTTTAAATTCTGGCTGCTTTAAAGTATCTGGTGGAAATCCCAAGTGCCTGAAAAGTCTGATGATTACAGCCAGCTGACAGCGGCTAACCGAAAGAATGAGGAAGCTAGCGATGCTAGCCTCTCGTGTGACACTTTCCTTCGGAGACTCTTGATAAACGTGTCTGCTGCCTCCATGAGAAACTCTGTGTGTACGCTTCTCCTTTGTACGAAGCAGCTTTTCAGCTCGATGTGGGAGCCCTCTGTGCACTTTTACACTGCAATCCCAGGAAACCCATCGCCTGTGTGTGTGTGTCTGTGTGTGAGCGGGCATGCTTGCCTTTTGTGTGTATTCCTGGCTCACTTTTAACAATGTATGTCTGTTTGCTCTCACAGCAATCGCACATTTGGCTCGTACGCTTTTAGAATACCAGAAGAGACTAGCACCAGCGTGTGTACACACACACGCACACACACACACACACACACACACACACACACACACACACACACACACGCACAC